CTCTGGAAAGCACAGGTTTACCCATGCATTGTGAGTGACATAGGGTTGACGGTTGTGGTGCTTTCGATAGCTGTGCTAGCACGAAGTCACAAGTCATCGTGGCCGAGGGCTTAAGCGTGCTGGCTAGATAACACGCTCTTTCTCAGAAACTGTAGTTAAGTTCTGCTCAGCATAGTTGCAGTATAAACCACAGGTTGGCTCTGTCGGTGCTGAACAAACACAAATTTGTCTGAGCGAGATTATGCAATAGGGATTAGCTAGCCGCCCTAGTATTCGGGTACTCTCGAATATGAGTGGCCAGAAATTATATATATATATATATATATATATATATATATATATGAAGAAATATAGTCTTAAGATGAGCTATATTTATGGGATAAAGTGCTCAATATCAGAGATAGAGCGTGTGTAAATATAAAAGTGAACATAGAAGTCAACACTTAGGGCGACAGTCTGTTTCATGCTATATGTAATCGTCAGGCCTGACGATTGTATATAGTATGAAACAGACTGTCGCTCTAAGTGTTGACTTCTACGTTCACTTATATATATATATATATATATATATATATATATATATGTGTGTATGTGTGTGTGTGTGTGTGTGTGTGTCGAGACAGATGTGTTTAGATATATTCGTGATTTTTCTATGTATAATTATCTTTCACTCTCGTCTTTTATCCTTTTACATTTTACTTCCCATTTCTTCTTTCATTCTTCAGACATTTTTTCTTTTTTCTGTTGTGCACCCGACTCTATCTCTCCGGGCCTTATTCATGTTTTTGCTCTACATAGTCAATATTTCTCGTTATTACTCTCTCTATATATATTTCTCTCTTTATCTTTCTCCCTCTCACTACTCCTCTCTCTTTTATTCTGTATATCTATTTATCTATTTACCTATCTATTTATCACCATCTTTATTTCTCTCTCTCTCGACGACGACGACGAAATAGTGAGTTCGATCCTCACTGGTTACACCACACTTTCGGCCTTGTGGCGCATCTAAGCCACGCTTAGGAAATCATCTGGTCACTCAAACGTGGTGTTAGTTTTTAAAGCATATCACACCAAGCAAGGCAGGAGTCCCACTAGCACACAAGGGGTTACAGATAGTGAAAGTTAGTGGAAAGTGGTGTGTTTGAGGAATGGATATAGAAGAACGGGGATCAAGATCAAGGCATCAGAAGATGTCGACTGACATTACATTTGAATATTTGAAGATTATAGCTACCTGGGAAGCAAGTAGGAGGAAGGGACTTCCACTATCGGGAAGTACAAGATAAAACGCTGTTGGAGTAGAAGAGGTGGTTAAATTTAACTGTTTCGACAGTGAAAGGGTGGGACCACGATGTTTAACCTAGTAGCACGCTTAAATTCATGTGGTTGGGGTACCAGAGAAAATAGTTCATCAGAGCAGTTGTAAAAATATTTGTAGAAAAGACATAGGGAAGCCACATCACGTCTGTGAGAAAATGACTGGAGTCGAGATGCCAAACCAGAACCTATCAAATTGCATATCCGTCTTTGGATTTTGTCGAGAAGCCGTTACAATTGAATAGCATGTTCGACGCATAATTTCGACATTGTGCCACATATGAGCTACGCTTTGAAAATTTTCATCGTAGTAGATATTTTAAGAACAACAATTTGGTTGCGGTCTGTTCGGGGCTGCATGTCATAAACTGGCTTAGAGACACTGACGAAGTTAGAAACCCAACAAAACGTAAAGGAATGAAAGGTTACTGCTTGTGTTATCATTTAATCGACACGACTATCTAATTACAGCTCAATCGAGAAAGCTGCCGAGTCAATAAACACTGAATTCCCTACACTACAAGATCTTCAAGAATTGCATGTTAATCATTCGGACAACGCTATGTTGGTATTTTATCAACTACCGCACAGAATCTCAGGAACTACAGCAGTAATAGTTACGTAAATAATAACTACGTGGTAATATGCCTATACTCGGCTTAATTTTAGGCGGGCTATGAGCGGTTATAGGCGTGGGAAAAATAGCGGTCCGAATTCAATATCTGACCGAGTCTCTTCATTTCACTTCACCAACCTGGCCTGGGGAAATACATGAATCTAATTTTCCCTTCAGCTAATGAGCGTCGTTGAAGAACGGCAATTCTGAATTCTGTGCCGGGCAGATAGATAGAATCTCCACTCTGTAAAACTAACTTCGTATCAAATTCACAGCCATATCACAGAGTGCAGTGGTGGGAAAATTACGACCAGCAGTCTGATTATTTTATGCAGACCCAGGAGTAAAGAAATAGTATTTTGTAAATGTTAATTAAATAATATTGATTACACAAATTAAAATCTATTCAAAACACGAACAAATATAAAATGGGGCGTCTATTTTAAATACGAGCTTCTAGTGCAATAACGTTTAAAGTAATAAAAATATCGGATTAAATATAAATCCATTAATTCTTAAGAAATTGCTTTGTTTACGTTACGGAAAAGAAACTGAGCATATATGAGATTTCGAGAAAAACATCTTATTGAGCAAGTATGTTTTCGTTAAAGGGAAAAATAGGGCCATACTGAACTATGGCGACCTTTTTAGCCGAGCGGTAAAAGCACGCCAGAAAAATACAGTTGATTATCTTTCAAAGGGGGACCCGAGTTCGATCCCTATCGTACAACACATTCTTTATTTTCTCGAATATTCAGGCTGATAGACACAATACACATTGTTAAAAAAAATATAAAACAATGGTGTCTACTCCAAATACGACTACAATAACCTTTTAAGTAATAAAAATCTCGAAAATATATATATAAGTCTACACTCATAGGCGACAGGCTGTTTCATGCTGGACGCAATCGTCAGGCCATGAATGCTGGATTTTCCTCTGTTATTTATATATATGGGTCAGTGGGTAATCTATTCTGGGGGTTATTTTTACGGGAGTGGCTTGTTTGTTGATTTATTTATTAGTTTGGGTTAATTTATTTTATTTGTTTTTCATTTTTATTTGTATTATTTATTCTTTTTGATTTTTCATGTTTTATTAACGTAGTAAAAAAAAATTTGGATGGGGATTTGCTTAGGTTGCTTATTTAATAGTATGTTTTCATTTGGGAAGATAACCAAAGCTATTTATTCGTCAAATGTTTAGATTGCTTGCCGTAGTTTTTAAATTATTTATTTGGATTGATTATTATTACTTGTTTTTACTTATTTATGCTTATATTTATTAGTTCTAACGGTTATTTTAGCGGGGGCGATTTGTTAATTTGTTTATTTATGTATTTGGATTAATTTTTTATTAGTTTTTTATTCATTTACTTATTTTTTTATTATATATATATATATATATATATATATATATATATATATATATATATATACACTTCTTCATCGTTACGTGCCCAGGAAATGTTAGCTGCTCTGAGATTAGAACCTAATCTTAGAAATATAGGTTGATATATAAGCTCCACGCACGGAAATTTATTTGATTTAAACTTTGTCAAATTTGATTAATATTTCTAAGTGATCACAGGAACAAGATAAAGGGGGGGGGGGTAAAGCGTTATTATTTTAAAGGAAAGGATGCTGTGGAGAGACATGAGTTTCAACTTCTTGAAATGACTTTTCCCTTAAAAGACGGATACAATCTTAAATCAGCGAATACAGATTTCACTTCAGAATCGTATAAAACCAACCAATCCATATGACGTTCTTTTATTTGCAAAAGTAAACTTACTCACCCCAAGGAATGACACCAACCCACACACCTTCTCATATGCACATTAATTTACAGCCATAAAACACTGTTACTTGCCTTTATGACTCCAACTTATGTTCTAACACATGAAAAAGACATAAACCTTCCGATGGTATTTCGTCTCGGGTGGTACAAGGTTGATTTTTAAGTGTACAGAATGGTGGGCTTACGGTGATTACGGTGTGTGGGTAGGAAAGGATTTGAAGCGTGTGGTATGTGGAAGTTAAGATCTTGCGTATTACATGATACCGTCCCTATTTTTCTCCTTTCCTTTCTCTTTCAACTTCTCTTCTTTCTCTCATCCAGTCAGTTTTATTCTTTCTTTTCTTTTTTGTCACCCACCGCCTTAATCATTTCTTTTCCTCTTTCTCATTTTTTTGACTTCCTCAATCCCGATGTCTTTCTTGACATTTTTGTTTCATATGTATTTTCATTTTGTCCTTTTTTCTTTCCTCCCGACTTCTTCTTCTTCTTCTTCTTCTTCTTCTTCTTCTTCTTCTTCTTCTTCTTCTATTACATCTTCCCCTCCTCCATCTTCCTCTTCCGATATGCTCTCTTCATTTTCCTACGATACACCTTCATGCCATTCTTACTTCAACCCTCTCTATTTTCACCTAGTTTATCTCCTTTTTATAACGCCCATGCGACTACTGTTCTTTTTTAATTCCTGCCTTTATTTTCATTTTACTACTCTTACTATGACAAATATTACTTCTTCTTCTTCTTCTTCTTCTTCTTTCCATATCATGTCTTATCTTACTCCATCTTTACCATCTTTCTAGATATATTGGCCGATCTCCATTTCTTTTTTAATTTCTTCTTCCTTCCTTCCTTCCTTCCTTCCTTCCTTCTCTATTCCTTTCGTCCTTCCTTCCTTACTTCTTTTCTTTCTTTCTTTCTTTCTTTCTTTCTTTTTTTCGTTTTTGTTTGTTTTTTTTCTTTTCTTGCCTATCCTCACTTTTTCTTCTTTTATTTTTTATATGTTTGTCTTGTGCACTCCTCTTCATTATTTTTCCACATAATCTAATTTTTCACTACCTCTCTACCTCACTTTTACTTTTTACATCTTCTAGTCATTTTCTTCTTTTTCCTCCTCCTCCTCCTCCTCCTCCTCCTCCTCCTCCTCATACTTTCTCTTCTTGTCCGTTTTTCTTCCTTTTTCCCGTCCTTTTCCTACTTCTTTCCACTCTCACTAATTCTCTCGTCATCTTAAACCGTTTGTTTTCGTCTTTCTCATATTTAAAATGAGACCCTTCTTCAACATACAGATGTACGGCGACATTTTAAAGAACTTAAGGCGAAGGAGGGCGACTCGATACAGTTAGAACGGATGGACCATAATTTTTCGCCCTCTTCGGAGTGGCATGCTATTCGCCAGTGTCAAGCACTAAAAAAATGCTAGACTGACCTTTCGTGTTAATTGCTCCAACATTTTTTTTAAGAAACACCCCACCACAGTTGTTTGTTTTAACAAATCAAAACAAACAAAAATATGATAAAAAGAATCTAAACAAGGAGAGAAGAAAAATAAACTTGCCCCCTTTTGTTTGTATTTTTCATAACAAATTTAAATATATACTTTTTTTAAATATTAGGATTTTGTCACTTAAAAGAAATTGAAAATACGCAGATATTTCATTGTATTTTTTAAATTTAGTTTGTTTAACAATTTCTGATAAAGGAAAGCTCTTAAATAAATATGTCATGGAAATTGAATATAGATCAAGAGAAGATACAATAGGATCATAGCGCAGCTGAAACCTTCTTAAGCATTTACTGCAGTTAAGATGTGACACATGTATGTCCATACCTATTGAGAATCGAACTCACTTTTCAGTCGTAACTGATCTAGCAAGACAATCCTGCTAACCATTACACCACGCTGTGGTGTCCGGGACTTGATTTTCTAAACGGAGCTTAGATGTGGCTCAAGGCCGAAAGTATGGTTCACCTAATGAGAGTCGAAATCACTCTCATAGCAAGAAAAGTTTGCTAACCATTACACCACGTCGAGGTGCACTCATTAACAGAACAGAACCTGAGAATATAAGATACAAAAAAGCAAGAAATATATGGTATTTATATATTTATTAGCAGACCACAATAAACTAATGCTTGATCTTTCTGTCTGTTTCCATATATTTATTTTAAAAAATATACAGCATAATTAAATTTGTTAAATTTAAGATTATCCATTTCATTTTTGTATTTGTTTGATTTCGATATCTGCAATTTGCATTTAGGGCTGTTCCTTTTGCTAACAACCAAGGCTTCTGTCTTATTGCAATTGATGTTTAGTCATTCTCGCTTTTCTTCACTGGTTTCCTTTCCATGTCTGCTATCAACACTGTGTCATCTGCACATGTAATGTTATTAAGATTGTGGCCGCCATTATTGAATTTTGGAAGGATTTCTAATTCTTTCAGAATCGCCTCACTGTATCGATTGAATGGGTCTGATTAGAAAACACATCCTTGGTTTACACTCTTTTTAAAAACCTTGGAAGTGCTTTAACAGAGGACAGAAAATGCAACACTGAAATTTGAAGGCTCATTTGAATAGCGAAAGATTCCTCCCAACAACTAATCAAAGTATTAAGACATAAAAATTTCGTTACAAACATAGAAAAGAGTACTGAACTGTTACGTAATATCAGTCATCCTATATGACAGTGAATGCAGGACAATCTCCTCATAGATGAAGAAGAGACTTGAAGTAAGCGAAATGTGGTTCTACAGAAGGATGCTGAGAATGTCATTGATCGAACCTATGAGCAACGACAAAATTCTAGAGACAATGGAAACAAAAATAACACTTAAATTTAATATAAGTAAGAGACAGTTGAAATTTCTAGGGCACATAATGAGGAAATAGTTCTTGAAAATTTGATACTCACAGGATAGATTGAAGTCAAGAAGGACAGAGCATAACAAAGCATAAACTGCCTAGTGAGCTTAAGTGAATTCACGCCGAAGCAGGATTTGAGAGAGATAAGCAAAAATACAGTATTTATTAAAAGGTACAAGGACAGGGAAATATTGAAGAGCCATGATCGTCAACGCTCTGAAGTCTATCTATCTATCTATCTATCTATCTATCTATATATATATATATATATATATATATATATATAAAATCCAAATTATCCCATTCACAAGGCCATTTCGTTCCCAGGAGCTTCTTCATGGGACTTGTCAAGGCTAATATATTTGTTAAAGAAATGAATTCTAACGTTTTTGGGGTTTCTTTTGTTTGTTTGTTTTTTGTTTTAAGAAATTTGCAAAATAAATGTTAAGGCGGGAAGGAAGGAAAGAAGTAGGAGGAAAGGGAGGAAAGAAGAGGAACAAACAACATATAAGGGAAATTGGTTTTATGCAGCGATAAAGAGACAAAAACACTAAGGTGGTTAGAGTGGGAGTGACCATAACAAGTCTAGATAGAAAAAAAAGACAGTTGAAGATGAACAAAGACCGAAATTTCACATATTAACTCTTATACAAAACGGAAAAAATATCAAAAAATATATATATAAAACTTGCAAACCTAAATGTCAAGTAAAAGAGCAGTTTAAAAGATTATAGATAAAGGAAAATTATAAATTTAAAATGAATAATATTATAAACATTTAAATATTTTAAAAGATAATACTTATAACTCACCCTCTTCTTTTCCTTTTTCTTTTTTCTTTCCTTCGTTCCTTTCTTAATATTTATTTTTCAAATTTCATTCATTTCTTTTTTAAAAAAAAGAACTTAGTTGCATTGAGTAGACCCAGGGAGAATCACCTGAGGATGAAATGGCCATCTGAATGGAAGAATTTGGATTTCATTTTTTAAATTTACTTATATGCTGTATAATAAATATATTGAGCTCTCTTTTCTGAATCAGTTTTGATATTTTATATTAATAGTATCTACTTGGATTACTTACCCAAGGATTTTTACCTATATATATATATATATATATATATATATATATATATATATATATATAATTTATTCGAAAAATATAACATAAACATGTTATAAAATCACTAGTAAAATAGTCATTTTGTTTCAATACACCTGGTGTCTTATCATGTGATGGTGTTTTCTATAATGTAGAATAATATTGAAATCATTAAATTTAAAGACAAGATCCATCTCTTTAATCAAAGGAACTCATTGTTAACTGTAAACATAGCTCAAAATTTAACTTGTGATAGAAGTACTAATATTATTGACGATAACGCAGTGTTACTGTAAGTTAATATGTTATTACTTATATTATCTGCTAATCCTCCAATTTCTGTACATATATGTATGTATACGTTTATTGTGTTGTTTGTGTGTGCACACGTGTATGTATTTTTATGTATAGATGTATATGTGTGTATATGCATTTATATATAAGTATTTTTATATATGTGTATATATGTATATGTGTGTGCATTTGCAGTTATGTATGAATATATATGTACGTGTAGATATATGTTTGTGTGTATATATATGTTTGTATGTATGGTTGCTAGATATGTGCTTGTTTATATATTGTATATATATATGTGTGTGTGCGTATGTAGGTATATATTTATATTGTTTCTATTTATTTTATATGGGTGTATTTACTTAGATTTTTGTATCCGCGTTTGTATGTCGGTGTGTTGCCTTATTTTCTTGGAGATTATTTGTGTTTTTGTGTTGCTGTGTAGGTTGATATATTTTTATCCATTTCTATGTGTGTATATATGTACATGCGTATGTATATGTATATGTATGTAGGTAATCCATATGGATAATCCCAAGAGGATGAAATCCGGAGAGCTCAATGTTTAATTAGAGTGAATAATTTAATTTAAAGAAAAAAAAAGACCACTTTAAGATTCCATTGTTATAATTTATTTCACCAGAGATTGTATTTTTCTCTGGATCTTCAGACTTTATTTCAAGGGTGAAAAAATGAATTTAAAATTTACACTTTTGAAGGGCAGTATTAAGCTAATATAAAGTGACACAGATGGTAGTGAGAAATAGTGTGAGAAACATAGTCTAAATTAGAGAGGGAATGGAATAGTTTTAAAATTCATTTTTATTTTTAAGGTAATCCGTATAAGTGTAAATTTTAAATTCATTTTTTCACTCTTGAAAGTGAAGTCTGAAGATCCAGAGAAAATAAAATCTCTGATGAAGTAAATTATAACAATTGAACCTTAAAATGGTCTGTTTTTCTTTAAATTATATATATATATATATATATATATATATATATATATATATATATCTGTGGGTGTCTGCGTCTGTATCTGTGTGTGTGTGTGTGTGTGTGTGTGTGTGTGTGTGTGTGTGTGTGTGTGTGTGTGTGTGTGTGTGATATTTATGTACGTATATATTTGCATGGATGCATGTATGTACACATATGTTTGCGTTTAGATATATTGTTATATGTTTTTACCCGTGCATGTATTCCTGTTTACTCATACGTAAATAAATATGAATTAGGTATCAGTATAAATTTGTGTGTTAAATCTTTTTCTTTTCTGTATAAAAGCTGGTTTAATTTTATTGTTGCATTTTGTCTGGGCATTTGAATTTAGTGGTTTGGGGTTTTTTGTATGTGTGTGTATGTGTATATAATTATTTTTTCTGTCCATTTATATATATATTTAATTGTCTTTTATCTTTGCCTTGTTCATTGCCGAATATTTGTTTTCTTATTATACCCCTATTGAATTTAAACTATTGAAACCTCTTTTTATCTATATATCTTTGTCCATGTAAGTAATATTTTAATAGTCCGTTTGCATTTGTTTACTAACAGTTTCATACTTGATTCTTTGTGGGTGTGTATGTGTTTATGTCTTTATTACTCTATGTGTGTACGATTGATTATATATGCCTTTCTTTGTATGTATATGTTGTCTGATATATATATATATATATATATATATATATATATATATATATATATATATATATATGTTTAATCGTGGATAACTATTTTCTGTTTCGTACGTGTTTTTGCGTGTTTATATATCTAAATATGGATACGAGTTTGTATATTATAATCTGATTGTGTATATATTGTCATTTGCAATATTTCTTCCCCCGCTCCCCATATCATCACTTCAAATGTTGTGACGATGTTTTACATCACCATTAGATTAAAGTTTATTCTGAGATTTTGGCTTTTCAATTAAAACAAAATAAATAATAAAATATATGTATTTTTTCTTCAGGTTCTTCTATAAATAATTTTATAATATTTTAAAC